TGCCGATCAAACTGGAGTTCACACATTGGCTACTGGTCAAGCCTGTGGTCTAGCTTGCCAAACTGCCTTCAGGTTTGCCTAGCAACCACCAAAGGTTCCAGATCACTGGTTTTCAACTGACTTCGCACCGGACACCTATTCCGCATACCACAAATGATCAGTAAACTTAAGATGCGTTCCAAATTACGTGAGAGTAGTACCTGCAAGTGAGAATTAAGAAATAGGTTGAACCGCAGTTGTCGCTTCATTAGGTAATCACAAACACACTCCAAGAAGATAATGAAGTTCAACAGAAGTGATAAGGCTACACTTTTCGAAAAGCAAAGAGGAGTAAGTATTCCGGTGTAGTGCCTTTCCGGCGGATGGCTACTGTGTAGAGGGGCAAGAGGACAGAGATACTAACACATTGCTCAACGAGTAAAGTCTTAACACCAAGTAGAGTAGGGCCGCAGAATGCACAGCCAACAGCAGGATGATGAGGAATGAAGGTTTCACGTACGAAAAACCAGTAGGAAAGAAATGCCGCAGTGTGGCCACACACACACCCTAGCAGGCAGTTTCTTCATATTTGGTGGGGACGAGATGGCTCAGGGATTACAGCATGAAGTTACTGACGGGAAGGTGCTTGGTACGAAACCGACCTCTGCATCTTGACTTATCCTGTCTAAGCTTGGGCGACCAACGGTATCCCAGTTCCCATACTTCAATCAGGTGACATGGTAGCTAGGCACCGGAAGGATGTTACAGCTGCATGATTTCTTCACATTTGGTGCGTTCAGTCCGTCTGTCCGATCAAAATCCTCCAACGATTGATAACCTAGTTTTAACTCATTACAATGATACCTTCCCTGGAGACCCGTCCAGAGATAAAGACTCGTTTGGACCATACACCTCACCGTTCCCCGACCTGTTGTGATCCTCCTGGCTCAAGCTCACGGAAGAGGTAAAATATAGCCTTATCCAGTCATGGTTTTCATGTGGAAGTCAGTGTTTTGGAGTGTTTTGAGTAACCCAGCGAAAGGACCTCCGGTTGACTAGATAATCACCAGTGTGCGGTTCGGCAGCCTATGAAGTCCTCCCGTAAATCCACTGGAAATCTCTGTCTGTTCATCTTATCTGCTTAGACTTCGACAGATTGCAGCTCTGAAAGCTCAGAGACCGTTTTTCGGCTACTTCAGTATTTCATTAGGGCGGGCTATGAGTACGGAAATTGTTGTGCTTGCCGGGAACATGAAGGCACAAATGGGCGGACTAACTGCTGTTGGGAATCTAGTAGGCCGACATCTTGTGCAGTGTTACTTTTTGCTGCGGCATACGAGGAAGTTCGTCCGGCCACTGTTTGGAACTTTTGTGCCGCATGGACATTTGTGTCAATGTGAATGACTTCTGAGGTACATCCCATGGGATCACCCGGCGTATCAACAGAGGTGAGTAGCAGCTTGGAACCCGTTTTTCACCAGAAGGTCCCGCGTTACTAATGTTATGTCGGACCCAGTATTTAAAAACACATACGTTATCACCCTTCCTGTTGGAACGTCAAGCTTAACAGGAGTAACTTCTGGGAGTGCTGGAGGCTGACTATCCTGAGTTAAGGCACAAAACCCGTCCGACTGTGAAGTTGCCCCTGCCTCTTTTCCGGGTTTCAATGCATACAACAACCTGTGATGTCGCCCCCTACAACCCGACTGCCCTCAGTGAGCAATTGACTTGCGATCTCTAGCCATGTGTTAGTCTTCCGAGCAAACAAAACATGCATCACGATCCTGTACGCACTTCTACCTATCAGAAATTTACATGGATAGAAAGCACTGGGTGAGGCTGTGAACACAG